CGTCTTGTGTTTCAGATTCCGCCACCAGGCTTAGCTATTCCGCCGCCGCCAATTGCACCAGTTCCTTTGTCGACCGGACAACTTACAGTGGAAGGCTCGGTTGAGCTTCAAACAGAGCGAAAAATAAAGGTATTTCACAATTCACAACTCATTCTTAACTAATCCATATTCTAAGAAGAAATAGTCAGAAAAACGCGCATTATATAATTATAATGCTTTTGTAGGCACGGCTTTTCATGGAAAAAATATTAAATGAAAAAAGAGCGGCAAAACTGCGCGCGCAGAACGAAGAACAACAGAAGCGTGAAAGCGAGTTGCTCAAAAAGTACGAGGAAACGCACGGCACCGTGAGTCTTTGCACATTGCCAAAATTTGAAGATGTAACTGTTAAAGCCGAAGAACTGGGACCAAAGTGGCTGCTTTTTTCAGTCTGCTTCATCAAAGCTGAAGAATAAAGACAGTACCGAGAATGTGGAATCGATGCCTTCAGTGGCTGAATTTGATCAAGTGGCCAGTTCACGAACTGATAGGGCTTCGCATGACCATCCTGCTGAAAAAAAGTGAGTGCTTTTTTATTGTTTTTGATTGAGTTGATTCACATTTTTTAATCCTTCATTTAGATGGGTTGCATAGGTTTTCCTAGTTCGAGCCGCTTTTATGCCTGGCTACATTTCTGAGCACGTATTGTTGAAGAACATGTTGTGTCTTTCTGTTTACATAACCGATCTGAAGACTGAAATACGTAAATATACACATATTTATATACTTATTATTAAATACATGAATGCATATATTTATATATTTCGATTTTCATTTCTGCGAACGCAATGAAGTTGAAATTCTAGCAAATTGATGTTCGACTGTGGATGAGTGGAGCTCATATGTTGCTTTGCAAGTAGGATTTGGGGACAGCATAGAGAAGGGAAACGAGGACACAAGCCAAGAGCTTGAAGCAAGAACCTATTCGCCTCCAACTTCACCTATTTATCAGCTTCATAAACGAGGAAGCCCTTGCTGACGATGGGGTTTCTGTAAGACAATTCCTGCTCCATAAGCTTTGCGTTTCTTGCTTTTATTTGTAGATTCCGATTTTTTGCTTTCGCTTTCTTTTCGTTTTTATCCATTAGTTCAAGTTTGTTTTGATTTACTTTTCTTTGTGATGTTGTGTTATTCCTTTTTATTGCTGTCTTCAGTTTTTGCCTCGAACTCCTGACTAGTACCCTTGTACCTCTCTTCTGTCTTGTCGCCAGATTTTGCCTCCAAAGCAGCGTCTAAGCATCCATTATCCACCATCCTCCAATGTCACCAT